AATGTAATGCAAAATATCAAGGCGTATTCTAGTAAATAGTGCAGTTCAGTCTTAAATCACTGATCGTTTTTCTCTAGGTTAGTTTTGGCGTGAAGCCCCATTTCTAGTTCAGCAGAGTGTGCATTTCAGGGCTGCCCCACTTCTTCATGTGCTGCCCTTTTTTTCTTGAGAATGAGATAGAGGGTCAGCAGGAGGCTGTTGTCATACAAGTCCTCCTATCAGCCCATGGCATCCTCCATCGCCTTCCCCAGGTCTGCAGTGTGTCAGCCAAACAGGTAGAGAACCTCAAGTTCCTGCTTTTATCACCCCAAGAAAGAACATTACTGGGATAAGGGCACCTTCCAGCTTCTGGCTCTGCTTGCCTTGCTGCCCCCCCTCCCCCGCTCTCAGCAGCCCCTGTTGTTCTTCTCCTTCATTGTCTCAGAAATTTGAAGTTTTTCAATGGGTTGCGTGGGTTTTCTACCTTCTCGTCCTTGATTCTTTTGTTCTCCATCCTCTTTGCACCATGCTTCTCTTCTAACATTGCTGAATGTCTTTCCTCTTTTGATTCCTTCTGTTCCATTCTTCTCCTTTAATTAATGTGCAGTTTTATTTTTGCTTCCTAATTTATATCTTTACTGATATTTTTCTGACCTTTTCTCTGCCACTGATAGTGCTCTCAAATGCTCTCGGCAGCTTCTATTTCCATCAGAGCCTGACTCTTCTGTATTCTTTCCTTTCTTCCCAACCTTCTCCCTTTTCCTATTTCTTTTCTCTGTCTCCAGAAATGCTGCCCAACCTCATAAATAATGAAGAATTCTTTAGCAGCCTCTTCTGTGAGCCATTTTCTGTCAATAACTGCATATAGCCAGGAATGTGTTTCACCTCTTGCTGTATATTTTAGAAAAGTGCTAAAATGCTACTTTTACTTCTGAAGATTTTTTACTTGTTTTAGTAATGCCACTTCTCACCTTTGCCTGTCTGACATTCAAGAGATTTTATGAAGTTAGCAGGCAACAGGAGATGCACACAGGTTGGAAGGTGGGTTCCTTACCTGATGCTTACCATAGGTTGCTCCTCTGTGCCTTGGAACTAATGCTGCTGTTCCTCTCTGGACTCTCAGTGTGTTCTACTTACTGTTGTGTAAGAAATGTTTTGAATTGCTTGGCTTTCAAGCACTGTCTGAAGTGAAATATTACTGTGTGCCCTTCACCGTTTTGAATTCTCTACCACTGAAATACTGCAAATCGGCCATGCTAAATGTCTTAAGAAGATTAAGATCAAGCTTTTTAATATTGCATTTAGCTGAGCTCATTTGCAACCCTTTCAGACTGTGGCCCATCTTGGGAGATGACAGGACCAGAATTGTTGCAAACCTTCATGCAGCATTACCTGAAATATTTAGAATTTCTCCCTGGCTCAGCACTTTCATATTACTGACTGACTTACACAGATTTTAAACTGGATTTCTTTTTAATACATTGCATTCATTTTGTGGCTTAGAGCAAGTTCTGTCTCTCTTGCCCAACTCTTTGCTTTCCAATTGCATTGCTGTATGTGTCTTTCTCCAAATTCTAAATAACTGGGATTGTCACCAAGTTTAAGTTTACATATACTTAAAAATGTAAGCTCGAGTCACAGAAAACCACCTGTGTCTCATACTAAATTTCACTTAAATTCAAGAGACGAATATGCACAGAATAGTGCATAAAATTCTGTTATTCCTTTTATTTCTTTATTGTCCCCATGTATTTTCCATCACTGGTCAGGGTGTAGTTGTCCTGCAGCAGCAAGGATTAACTCAGGTTCAGCTGTCTGGTATGCACTCTCCTTCCAGGTCCAGCAAAGGGCAAAGCTCTGGGGTTTCCTGAAAAGCAGAAGAGTGTTTTGAAGACTTTCACCACTGATTGCACAGAGGTGCATCGCTGCAGCGCAAAGAGGCTGTGGTTTTAAATCCTTTTAGACTGAAAAGAGGGATGTCAAGTCGTCAATTAATCCTGACAGTGTCCTTCTGTGGTGAAAAAGTAGTACTATCACACCCATGTTATAAACAGAAAATCTAAGGTGGAGATAAGAGAGGCTTGATAGTGATGGGTAGTAATGCTATGGCCCTCCCATTGCTCACCTGGGGACAGTCCTGAAAGTTTTTTTGGTTTATAAGGGAAAGTTACCATAAATCAGGATGAACTCTGATCCCACTCCCTGACCGCTACGCTTCAAACGTGTTTGGGACAGAAAAATTAAAAAGCTTTGAGTAATTCTGGGTTAAAAAAAGATGTTAGTGTGCAGTATTTAAACCTGGAGACTGAGCAACTCCAAGAGCATTGTACTCAAATGCAAATGTAGGTGTGAGCAGGAAGCAGATGGTGCCTGTGTCCACTTTGTGGAAGTTTGCAGCTGGAGTTTGGCCATTCTGGTGCTTTCATGTTCTTAGGATGAAATTTGGACTGCATTCATACCATGCCCAGTTCTTACTTTTCCTTTACCAGATGCAGACCATTTCTAGTAAAAATCCAAGAGCATTGCAAATACCTAAACTAAATAGCTAAGCCAGACCCTGGAATCAAATTAGTTTAATTTTCCCCAAAAGGTAATATCTCGAAAGAAATTTTTTTTTATCAGGCTTCTATAATATTTTGCAGTCCTTCCTAAGGAAATGGAGAATATATAATTAATACTGTTTAATAAAGCTCCAAAATGCAACAGATGCAGCCAAAAGTGCACGTCATTTTGAGCAGATCTTTACAGAACAGACATTCCATATTGTGTTCATCTTTTTCCACGATCACTGCTATGACAATCTGGTGTGTTTAGCAGTTGTTGCTGAGTAAGGCAGACTGGATTGTATATGGCTTTCTCCATGTCAGCCAAGAAACGTAGCGCTCTTTGGTGTGGTAAAGAGGTGGTCTTGTGTTAGTTAGTCCTTTCTACCAGGATCTATGCTAACGTACAGGTGTAAGAAGGCATTGCCACCTGTAGGTGCACATGCCAAAAGCTTGCTTTAGGTTGTAACAGAAATGAGTGAAAATGAAACGGCTGCACTTTGGAAAAGTCACAGGAAGGGATGGGATGAGCTGCTGGGGAGAAAAAGATGGCAAAGTTCACAAAACGGGTCACTGAAAACTCCGAGTATTTTATAAAAGCCAGATATTTCAGAGGAGATGAGGAAGGAGGATCACCTACATCAGAAAACCCTTAAGAAAGCCTCCAGTGCAGAGGAAACATTTCCTCTTTCAGCATTCTTTCTGGGTGCCAAATTTTCCTTCTGTTCCTCCCCACCTATTAAACAAAGCTGCAACTTCCAATTCCTATCAGTTTTCCTAAATATGTGCAGCTTATGTGGCTTCTCCGAGCCGCGAGGCTTCACGTTCTCCTGCCAGCTCCTTGACAATGTGGCTCCAACAGCATCCTCCACTTTTGGCTGCCTCTGGGACCCCTGGTCTCTTCTGGAAAGGGAGAGGGAAAGCATTTCCTTTTCTGGAAGGACTTTTTGTGACTGAGAAGCCGATAGCGCGGCTGTGAAAAGCTTGGAAGGATCCATGTGAGCTCTGTCTGTCGGGGCCCATGGTGAATGGGAAGCTGCGGGCCTCAGTGCTCCTCAGGATCACTTACACACATCATGAGCACCTGCCCGAAAGGGAAACTGAGGCAATCAGAGAACAGGGAATAGGCTTGGACTGATAACTTACCTGCCAGAAACAGGTGGATCTCTCATTTCAAGCAGCTCTTGTGTTTTTGCAGCTAAAAGAAATTCTCTGTCTGAATTCTCTCTTATCCACTTACTGGAACCACCGTGAAGACTCCTGGTTTGCAGATGTGAAACAAATTAGGAAGCTTATGCTGTTGCATTCCTCTTTATTATTTGGAACAAAACAAATCTGGGAGATGCAGAACTTCTTAAAGTAATTATTGTCTGGCTTTCTTTTAGAAAAAAAATGCATCTGATTCAGAGAACTTCCCGGCTCCTGACAATTTTTGCCGCCTAGGAAAGTCATATTAATTATAAGATTAATTTGTTTTAATTCCCTAAACCAAAAATATTGACTGAATGAGAAATTAACACATGTAGAGCTGCAGATGTCATTTGGCTTCAGATTTCCTGAACGATATAATTATTAATCTTTCATATAGTGGTGTGACAAACCTACAGATTCACTCTGGAAAATCAGTCTGTGAAGAAAGACATCAGGGCCACTGAGCTGTAGGTTTTCCCTTAGCACAGGAAGGAAAACAGTGGAGTTTTCTAAATAATAAATAAAACCAAAATATCTTAAAGGCATATGGCGCACATCTGTCTAAAATACAGTAATTTAAAGTAGAATAATTAGATGTGAGATGTATGTAATATTCACCTTAGCTTGAGGAACTATCTTATTTTGTTTTTAATATAATCTACCAAATTTTGGAGATTTAGATCATCTGTGCTATCTTTTTAACCATTTAACTGTCTTGGTAAAGGCAGTAGATGAACAAATTGTTTTTTTCCACTTTGTTATTAACCAAATTTGGTTTTGCCTTCTATTATTTCTTTCTTTTCTTTTTCACCTGAAGCACCAAAGGGATCAGGAGCTTTCCATCAGTATACAGATTCATGACATTCTGGTTGGGGAGATCCTATTTTTTTAGCAAAAGTTTGTTAGTTATGTGTTACTCCTGAGAAAAAAAAAATATATATGAAATGTACTTTAGGATAAGGATGCAATCTGCTATAAAGAATAAGCATAATCTGGAAAGAAGATTGTATACATAAGGAAAAACTAGAAATGATCATGGCTTTTTCCCACCTTATCCTTTCTCTAGTGTGATGTTGCATTGTTTGAGGACAGGGAAGAGACACTAGCATCGCATGAAGCAGCTCTGTTCCTGAGTGCTGGGTTGAGGAAAATATTCAAGCATGCTGTATAAACAAAGAGGGAATTTATACTCGAAGTAGAACTGAAGATAAATACTGTTCTGGTAAACAGAAAACAATTTCAGAAGTAAACACAAGT